ATATACATTTATATTCTTATATTTTATATTATATATAAATATATTTAATATATAAACATAAAATGTTTTCTTAAATATATACATGCATGTGTTTGTATGTATATATACATAATAAATATACACAGCACATACACGTATATTATATAAACAAAAACTTTGATTTTGGATGCGATTAATCGTAATTAACCGTTTGACAGCACTAGTTTATACTTAAAATAAGAAAAAAATATTTGCTAATAAGGTAATAAAAAAATTCAAGGTAAGAACAAATGTTTAAATTTGAATTTTTTATTTAATAATTTTTGCTTCTGAAATAATGTATCCTGTAGAAAGGATGTTACATTTTTATTGAATAATCAGACAAAACACTGATCAAGCGTTTTTGCACATTTACACACTACCTCTCATATATGACTGTTGCATGTCTATAAAGATGCTGGATAGCAATAAAGATTTCATTTTAATGTAATCTAGTATCACTAATCGTAGCAACCATTGCATTTTGACAGAAACTATGGTTAGTTAGCATGGCACATTTTGGTAAGTCTTGTAACAGACAGCGAGTGTGAGTAAAGCAACAGCTATTTCACACACGCGTCAGTGTGTCTGTTTCTCACAGGCCTTTCTTGATCAGCAGCTCCAGTTAATGCTAGAACTAACAGCAGGGTTTAGACTTGAGCCTGTGGAGGGTTATTAATAACCCTGACGCCGGCCTGGCTCTCTGACACTGGCCTGTCAGGATGGTTGCTTTAGCGGAGCTAACATTCCGGCCCACTGCTGTCCCCATGAGCCTTGCACACTTTAAGTTTTGGTGCTAATTTGAGAGCTCTATTAATAGGTGAACATTACACTTGGTCAACATTTACTGGATACGCAATGATTAAAAGTAAAGTCTCACATAAAGCTTAGAAGCAAAAAAAAAAAGAAAAAAGAAAAGCAATGTACCTGTCTGTGGTTGTCACTGTAAGGCCTCTTGATGGACACAAAATGGCGGATTTTTCTAAAAGGTAAGGAAACAATTGTCTGATTTGACTGTTTTATTCTAGTTGGTTTGTATATATAATAAAACCACCAATGGCAGCAGCAATATAAATGAAATTACCTTTATTTCTGGCACCCATAGTTTATTTAGAACATAAAAATAATATATGATATATCATTTATAGTATTGAATAAATAATTTATTATATTATTTATATAATACAGATAATATATATTAAATATATTTATTATATTAAACTAGTTATAAAATATGACTTAATGTTAATTTTAAATTAAATAATAAAATATGATATTCTAAAATTACAAATTCAAATTAATTTCAATTTTTATAATCATGTGACTCACCCTCCCTGGCCAATCACAGGAATGATTCTGACATATTGCTGAATACTGTCCCCTGACTTCCTCCGTGAGAAATAGATCCCCTGCCAATCCTTAGCAAACAAGCACACACATATTGAAAAATAAAAATAAAGAAATCGGTTAATAATCGAATCAATGACAAGTATAAGTATTGTTAGGCTTGTAAAAAGTGCCACAGGTAAAGGCAAACATGATCTAATATGACCTAGTAGTGTTATGGCCGACTAACCTTTCCTTTCTTGATGCAGGTGTTGATGGTGTCCAGCAGGTCGGCGCTGTTCTTGTCACTCTTGGGCAGTTCGGTCAACTCTTTACCGATCAGTTCGCCTCTATGATAGCCCATCATCTTTTCAAATGCTGGATTTACATACTAAAAACACAAAGAAAAAGATTACTGGAGTATGTTTTACAAGAAAATACTACCTCAGTTTAATTCAATGTGCTACTTGTCATTTCTTTGTAATTAATTGTGAAATTTACTTGCAATTTCTGAGTGAAAATTATTTCTATACCAATTTTTTTCATATATTCCTATATTGTATTCTTATATCATGATTTTCTTGTCGCAATATTATTGCAGTAAACACATGTCAAGTATCCTTATTATTTTGCATTTCAATTATACCTTCAAATATAATACTCTCAAAATATAATAATCTCCATAATAGATATGGGAGAAACTCAAATATATTCTTTCATGTAAAATGAACATTGTTTATATTCATAAAATGTATATTATAAATAAATATATTTAATATATAAACATAACATATTTTTCTGAAATATATACATGCATGTGTGTGTATTTATATATACATAATAAATATAAACAGCATACATACATATATTATGTAAACAAAAACTTTCATTTTGGATGCGATTAATCACGATTAATCATTTGACAGCACTAAAAAAACACATTATATTTCACATACCGTACATTATTGTTGCTCCTCTCTGCCCCGCCTTTCTGAAACATGTCCATTTTTACAAATCCCATCGTTCTGAAAAGCGCGGTGTGCTCTGATTGTCCAGATATCCAGTGCGTTGTGATTGGCAGAATACCTCAAGCGTTTGACTGAAATGTTACGCCCCTTACCATATTTGGAAACACACAGCATCTCCATGACATGGAGGCAGTGGCAACAATACTACAGCGAGAATAAAAGTTACGTCTTCTTTCTTTGCATAAATATTTGGGCGGTGTTATGCAAATCTTCAAACACAGTGACATAGAAATGTGGGGGTGTGTTTAAACTAGGCGTTTTAGGAGGGTGTAGATGAGTTTGAACTTTTATAAAGATATAGTCTTTGCAACTTTACGGATCTTATATATGCACGAACAGCTTGTAACACTCCAAAGAGAAAGAAAATGACCCCTTTAATAATGTTTACAAGTTTAAGGTTATTAAGCCTTCTTAAGGTTTAAGGTTATTAAGCATTAAAGTTCCATAAAAAAGGCCTATTATTAATCCTTTTAATCCCAATTATTTGTATGACAATTAATCAGAAGTACTTTAGTTTTAGGACATTCACTGTTCTCTAATCTAAGACTCTTAAGGAAGTCACACACTGGATGAGAAGCGCAGTGCTGCATTGCACATGTCTTTACTACTGTTAAAAAAACAGCTTTCAAGCAACGACCCTACATCAGTGTGAAAAGGCCTGAAAGCCATCACCAGCTACAAGACCCCACCCCCCAGCACTGAGGCCAATCAACAACTGGCTGAAGGCCTGAACGAGTTCTACTGCAGGTTTGAAAAGCAAAAGCCTGGTCTGACCCCCCACACCCACTCCGACCGTCTCACAGCACAGCCATCAACACCCTCCCCCTCTCTCCCCCTACTGTTTCTCAACCTGTACTCAAGATCTGTGAAGATGATGTAAGCAAAGTCTTCAGGAGACAGAAGATAAGGAAAGCCAAAGGCCCAGACAGTGTCTCTCCAGCCTGCCTCAAAGCCTGTGCTGTCCAGCAATCATCTATCTTAACAATGATCTTCAACAGATCACTGGAGCTGTGTGAAGTTCCCACCTGCTTCAAACGCTCCACCATCATCCCTGTACCCAAGAAACCAAAAATCACAGGACTTAATGACTACAGAGTCAGACCTGTTGCTTTAACATCTGTGGTGATGAAGTCATTTGAGAGACTGGTGTTGGCCCACCTGAAGGACATTACTGGACCCTTGCTGGACCCCCCTGCAGTTTGCTTACTGAGCAAACAGGTCTGTGGATGATGCAGTCAATATGGGACTGCACT